GACAGTTCGTTGGCGATGATTTCTGTCGTTGCCTTGCGATCCATCTTGGCCGGCGTCTCTGGTTCCCATGCGAGGACGCTGAGGCTCGTCCATCATCTCGGTGAAAAAGGCAACATCAGGCTGCTGTGCCTGTGCCTGTTGATAGAACGCCATGCTGGGCAAGGCGGTTGGGTCAAAGAGGTGTTTGTTGTTCAGGTCAAAGGGTGGACTCGTCAAGTTCTCCAGGAAGCTTTTGAGGTCGAAGGCAGGAAGGCAGAGAGTTTTAGAGAGTGAAGATGCGGTGGAGACAAGGGAGTGTCGATAAGAATATCCTCCAACCGAGCGATTAGAATATTAGTATTAGAAGGAGGGTGTTGAGTCGATGTCCGGGAAAGAGTGGCTGTGGCTGGGGTGGCCGCGGTGCAGAATCGACTTGGGGGCAAGAAATGACTGAAGTGGCCGGGAAACAGGCCGTTTAAAGAAGTGGTGGACCAAGGGGCTCTAGACAGACATCAAGTCAGCTCTAGGAATCTCGAAGACACGTGAGGGCGGACGAGACATGGGAGTTGGGCCGATCCAGGGGGGATATTGAATGCCGGCGTCGTGCCTCTGATTCGACGATGGGGTAGTGTGGAGACGAGACAGGCACGAGGGGAGATGGGTGGGTTGTGTAGTAGGTATTCATAACCCCAGGGGGAAAAGGTTGGATTGGAAGGGTGAAAGGGGAGGTAGGGACAGGGAAGAACATACCGCCACGGTGAAGATAGTCTAGAAAGACAAGACACAGGGAAATGAGACAATCCTGAGGCTAGTGGGTAGGAGCTACGAGTTAACGTGTCCCACGAACAACCTGCAGACAATAGTCGAGCAAGACTATGGAAGAGCGCTGAATGGTCCGCAAGGAGCAATCGGCACGTCGCTGTGGAGGGCAATGAAGAGTTTAGAACACGGCCTAGTCTGAGCGGGTTTGTAGGTTCATGTCATTTTACCAACATACCTTTCACTGTCTACACCCGAAGGGGCGAAGAGGGGTTACACCTGAAGGTGTCACAAAGATCTCGGCATGTATGGTATCTTTCCGCAAAGCAACCCGGACAGATGACCAAATGTCGAGATCTAGTGGTTCTTCAGGGGACTCGTGCTGTACGGATGGCAGCTTGACGATGTCCAACGACAGGAGATTTAGTGAGCTGCAGCAGGGCTAGCCTGGAGGCAGTTCCAAATCTCGGGAGGGTTGGTGAGTGCGCGCCTGAGAGGAATGACGGCGGGACGGCGAGTCGGCGTCAAGAAGCGGGCACGGAAGGGAGGATCGGAGCCACGGCGGTTCGGAGAATGAGTCGGATCGTTTTCCTCTTTCACGGGCTGAGGAATTCAGGAGGGGGTCGAAGCCGGAGTGGGTCGAGGGGGGGAGAGGTTGGCGAGTGTCGGTTGGTTGAGCAGGATACAAAGCTAGCGGCAATCCCAAGAAAGATGGCCAACTTGTCTCTTTCAGATTCAATGTCTATTCTCGCACAGAAGACACTCGAGGGTCCTTTATCCTTTATGTCGGGTCGGGGGGCTGAAGGTCCTCAGGGGGTTGTGTGGTGGTGAGGGGACGGCGGTCCAGTGTGGTGACCTGCTTCCTCTTTCGAGCCAATTCTCTGGTTGCAAGAGGAATTGGAGGACTCTGTGGGTTCGTGGATGTCAGAGTCAGGAAGGGCAGGCTCTGGAGGGAATGAATGGATGAGGGAGCTGGGAGGGAGAGGAAGGGGGAATGGCGGAGGAGGAGGAGGGTAGGTTAAAGGGTAGGAGGAAGGCTGAGGAGACGGGGAAGGATTGGAAGAGAAGTGTTTTAACGAATGGTTTTAAGACAGGATGGTGCAGCTTTGGCCCTGGCGGGCGGACAAGCACGACCTGGTACTTTGCGTGTACGAGAGGTCAGGTATCCCCAGCCCAGGACCAGGGTCTTGTGCTCTTCCGGGCAACCTTCCCACTTTTTTCCTTGCAGATTGGCCTGCAAGCGCTCAGCGTGTGATGCCTGCTAGACCTGGGCGAGGGTACCAGGCGTGGTGGGTGACGGAGGTACCTGGTCTGGCGCGCATCGATTTGTGCAGGCCACTCAGCCGGGGGCCCACAGCAAAGGGGGGGACCGTAAGTAACGGGTGGTTATGGGGGGGGGGGGTGCGTGGTGGGAGTCGGTGTCCTGGACTCCGGGTGT